AATTTGGAACAAGCATCTGTTCTGGCGCGGGAGTCTCGGCTCTCCTCGCTGCGAGTCCGTAGGTGCTCTGCAGGTCGACATCTGTTCTGTTTCGTCCCGGCAGAGCCTTGTGGGGAGTTGCTTACATTTTGCGGAAGATGAGCTAAATCACAATATCCATCTGGTTTTCGCTCTTCTGCCCCCCTGATCAGATGATGAGGCACAGCAGGCTTTGCGTGGAGGGGTGAAGGAGCTGTAGTATTAGCAGGCCACTGACCTATATCGCATAAAAGCAAAGCGACCATTTCTAATGCAGTTTGAATTTATGGTAACATCCTCAGCTCCTGTCTCAAATGTGAAGTGGTTTTTAACACCTGGGGGAGGATAGCTGCAGCTTTCTGTGTGGTATTGGAGAGTGTAACATGCTAAAGTGAGACCAAGTCCTGCCTTCAATCCTACGGTGAAAAGCAGCACCCAAGAGCACCTGGTTATTTGACTGCAGCTGTTACAGCATTGAAATAAAACTTGATAGCTTTTGAAATAACACCTGCCCTCTAATAAGGTTTTAGCTGTTGAAGTCAGACCCATGCTAGTTTCCAGAGCAAAGTTTTCTTCTGTTTTCCTTACTAGTTAATTGATTGAAAACTGACATTAAATGCAAGCACTGTACCATTCATATCTTCAGCTGTGCACAGAACAAATACAAACTTTTATTCATTCCAGTGGTCCCAGGACTGTATCCTGTGCAAATTTGGTGAAGCTCAGTCAGAGAGGGGCCATGTATGCCCTTTATTTGAGAGCAAGAGGCTTTCAGTACACAGTTATTTGCAAGTACCTGAGCTGCCGTGGAAGAGGGGAGCTGTGGCTATGAGCTAATAAATACATATCATTTGTACCTAAGATCATATGCAATTGTGGATATAATGTGTTCTTTCCTCAAAATGATCCAGTACCATTGATGTTGCTTACTGTTTTCTGTCTAAAGAAATATTTTCTCTAATGGATGCCGTGAAGATGCAGTTCAATGGTGCAAAGGCAACAGACATGAAGAAGAATAAGTTGATCTTTCATGTGGAACTTCTGTGGTGGAACCAGACTTTGCTTGTTGTGTTTTAGATACTTCTTTGAAACTGGAGGCGTTTTCACAACCAGATCAGTTTCTGGGTGACTATTAAATAGAGGCAGGAAGTATCTGTAAGGGCACAAGTATGATGTGAGACTGAATGAAACCAGTGTCTTCTAAAATCTACCTAGAGTCTTTAGAGTATTTTTCTTGTGGCAAGGCAGGTGTATAATCAAGAATAGTCTCCAGGTATCCATTAAATATGTTTTATTTGGACTATTGTATTTCTGGCTAAAGAATTATTTGACAGTTGAGTGAAGCTCTGAAGGCTTTTCGAAATCTGCAGGGTGTGTTGTTGTCTCTCTGAATTTTTTCTAAGCAGCAGCCCACAGGAAAGTTCTGGCATGTGTTCTGTTTTTATTCAGTGTATGATTTTCTGGGGCTTGGGATATGGCTGCACTGGAAAGCAGGAAAATGGTGGGTATCACTCTGGCACGGGGAGCACCAACAGTGAGGATGGATCTGAGCGCCCAGACTGTGAGCCCTGCGGGGCTCTGAGCGTGCGTTCTCAATTTCGGCACATGTTGCCGCCCACTTATCTGTACCACTGCTACTACTGTTACCTCTGCTGTGAAGATTGTGCAGATATTATATCTTTGTGTGCTGCCTACTCGCTGTGCAAAGTTCTTCTTGAGGTGGCATTGGTGCTCTTGATGGCAAACGCAGTATTGATGCTCTTCACAGCTGACTGGGTCAGCTTTGTCTTTTTCCAGCTGTGGAAACCACTGGCAGTGTGAAAGAAAATGTGTTTAAACTGAGGAGGGGTGCTGTAAAAAGGTGGATAACAAACCAGAAGTCTTGACAGTGTCACTGGCTGGGTCTGAGAGGAACAGATTGCGGTTTGAGAGCCACGTGGCTGTCACTACAGAGAAGGGGGATGATGAAGTGCTCACCTGAGGCCAATTCAGACTAGCCTGCTGATATTGCTGGAAACTAATTGTTTAATCTTTTTTTAAGTTATTTTTCAGCTGAATTGTCTGGCCTGTTTCTCAGTGGACCTGTAAGATTACAGGTAGTAAGAAAAGGGAGGATTCCTCTACTTAGCAGCAAGATGATTTTTTGGATCAGTCTAAGCAGATCAGGAAATTGCACTTTAAATTCTATGAAATTCTTAAGTTTGAGCACCATCATCCTCCAACTGATGCCTATTGAAGGCCAAGTTGGTATAATTTTCCTCATTTGCAGGCATGATATCATAAGATCTCCTGTGGTTTTCAATTAAGAATCTGGTTTCCTTTTGTGTCATATAGCTTTTTTTTTTTTTGTAAACCTGAATGCTTTTTGTTTCCTCAGTTCTCATTTTGTAATACCTGCATACTGTGAATGTAGAAGATGAAGAGTATAAGAACTAATATAGTATATTCAGCTCACTTTTACAAGCTGCTGAAAGTGCTCTGAATGCGTTGGAAGTGCTGGCTCAAGTTTCCTCTGCAAACCTTGCATGCTTGTCCAGGGTAGCTGCTTAATTTTTCCATTCAAATTCTTTTTCAGAAATTATTGCACCTAAACTGGATTTTTATTTTTAGGAGCCAATCATAGTCTTTACTCCAATAATTTCTTGCAATGGAAGTCTTGAACTTTCAGAGTCAGAAATGATCAATTGTAAATAAATGCAAGGTTGGATTTACCACTAAAGTTCTGGTTTTAGACTTTTTCGTGCACTGCATTGGTCTTAAAGAGATAACGACTCTTATTAAATAAATATTATTAAATAGTATTAACTTTCTACTAGGCTGAAGGGTTTTGCTGTTATTAGAAAGTGCTCATTTTCTGGTGACAAACTGAGGTCAGATCTGGAAGTGAAAATCTGAAGTTTGAAGAAAAATAGCATGCATGCTGCTTAACTTGAGACGATTCCCTGGTGGATGCATGTAACTTTATGAATTAATTCAGCGACATTGCTGTTTGATTGTTGTTGTCACTTTGACTTTTGATAGGAGTTTGGTACATGTTGTGTTGCTTTTCTGTCAACGCGTGCATGCTGGATTGGTAACATACTGCTTCCAGATCCCCGAATGCTGGATTCAGACCTAGCTCTCATGTGACTGTTTTACTGAAAATTAAAAACAGGAGCTGTCCCTGAATATCATTCTGTTTCTGAATGAGTGACAAGACGAGAGTCTTCATCTTTCAGAATAAAGCTTTCTAAATGGAGGTGCCTGCATAACTTTGCTAAAAATTGCTCCCCAGATGCAGTTTGTCATTGAAAGTGGAGCTGACAGTTGGCTTTGTTCTCAGTGGCTGTGTGGTATCGTGCAAGCGGCCTTTATTGTCAGAGGAACAGTGCTGTATTGGAATGGGCGATTAAGCGCTTTAAACACGGTAAAACTTACTCTTATTTTTTTTGCAAATTCATCTCTCATTTCCTTGCATATACCGCATTAGTTTCTTTAGAAAATGAGGCATGAACAAGTGCTACATTCAGTGCATAACTCATTTTGTGATGAGTTTAAAAGTTATAGGAGTTATATTACAAAGCTTAAAGTGAGGTAGGGCCCATAGGACAAAATAAGAAATATGACTAAGTAAAATGGTGTGGACTCTTAATACTTCAGCTAACAACATCGTTAGTTTTTTTTTGATACGGTATTATCTGTGTTTCTCTGGATTGTTGTGGTTCTTGGTCACCTTTTATTGGCAGCAGTTAAATCCATAATCTCCAAATTCATAGTGTAAACATTTAGTGGTGTCAGTAGCACCTATTATTTTCTATTTATCTTGTGATGTAAGAGAATTTATTTGCTAAGGTAGAAAATCAGTTATTCGTAAGTGTAGCTAGCCATCTGCCAAAATGGCTCCGTACTAAAAGAAGCAGTTCAGCTTTTGATTTGAAAAGGAACACTTAGCCAAATTTAGCCAAAACCACCCTTAGGGTTTTTTTTGAGATGGAGGGAATAAAAGAAACAAATATTTTCATCTGAGAGGATAGGATCCTTAATGAGTAGGGAGGCTTTGCAAGGAATGTAGAGTTCACAGTCATCGTGTTGAGCTGTTGAATTAGTGTTAGCTCACAAGAGAGCCTGGTGGGCACCAGAGCTGGCATGCAGGACCTACTGCTGTCACGCTGATGGGGTGGAGGAAACAGGGCTGGAAGCCTGAAGGTGAGCCTTTGGAATCAGCTCAGCTGCTCGTACAACACCTTCTTCACTGTAATGACTTTTGCCCATCCAGTCAGGCAGCAGAATTGATTTGACATGAGGACAAGGTTTTGGGTATTACATCTGTGAAGTGCCATAGCTTACTGAGCCCAATTTAGGGACCAGTAAAGGTCTGGCATGTAACCACTCTTGTCTGTGACTTACCCGTAATGTCACTCTTCACTGAGCTGCCAACTCCTGTGCATAGCTATGGAAGCTGTAGCACGGTCGTCTGTAACAGAGTTTTCAGTCTTTGCTTACCTCTTGATTTTTCTCCATTTGCTTACTCCTGAAGGCAATAGATCGTCATGCTAGGCTGGTGTGTTAAATTGATTGCATGGAGGAGTTGACTTGAAGCTGAAGTACTTTATGCCTGTTGAGGGAAGTGATGGAGGAGTTTTAACACTATAAAAGAAAACATGTTTTTGTGATTGCAGTGTAAGGTGTCTAGTATTTCAGCAGTAGGTACTCCTACTAATTTGTTTCATGAGAAACTTACTTGCCTCTTATGCTTAGAATTTGTGTGCCTGAATAAACTAAAATAGGTTTAAAATTAAAGCATGGTTTGAATTGGATTCTCAAATCACAGTGTTGTTTGAAGTACAGATTTAAAATATGGACATATTATGAATGCTGAGTGGACAGAAAACCTCTGAACAGACAAATGGTGGTTGAATGAACGTAACTTCTTACCTTTTAAAATTGCTCTAGTGAGGAGAATGTCTTACCTTATGGACTGTTGAAATGTCTTGCAGGTGGATTCACCAATGAACTTGAGGAACCCACATGATTTGGTAATACTAATGAGACAAGAAACAACAGTTAACTACCTCAAAGAACTGGAGGTAAAGCATAATCTTATGTACTAACTAATTTCTAAAAATACGGATTTTTTTTTTTCATAAGCTTTTGAGTGGTGAATTTAGATGGACAACAGAAGTCATCATTGGCATAATTGTGCTTCAGTGAAAGGGTGAAGAATTCTTCAAATCTCAAGAATTTTGTACCTCAAGATTTCTCAACAGGTTATCATTGTCCCCAGCTGCATCATTCCCTTTTGTTATCCATATGTTTTTAAGTAAAGACGTTTAGGTACTGGATTCTGTAGCTGACTACTGTGTTCCAGAACTATTTGTAGAAGTGTTGTCTTAGATTTGTTGTAGCTGCTATTTAGAGTACAGCCTGTAAGCCATGAATTTTCCTGTGCTCCTTTCTGGGTTTGCTGGGCTGTTCTTTCCATTGCTCTTTCTAGGACACATCAGAGAGTGGGTCACATGTTTTTCCTCAAACCCATTTATTATTGCAAAAGGGTCTGAAAACACCCTCCTGAAAAGGGCTTTAGTGAACTTTGAACTGATGACTTAAACTAAAGTTTAAATATGATACGGGCTGGACAAGCTAAGAGCTCCACAGCCTTTCTTCTGGCCACGCGCTTCTTTCTCATGCCAGCTTTGGTTTTGTCAGATTAGCGTAACTAGCTAACTGGGAAGCTAGGTGAGCACCAGAGGCAGCTTTAGGGGAATGAGGGAAGTGGAAGGGAGGAAGAAAAATCAGGACTGGTCCTTTTGTGACTGTATTCCAGCCAGTCTTTTTCATCGAGGTATACTCGTTTTTGTGGTAAAGGACATTTTAGCTGTGGGTGGAGCAGGAGTTGTAAGCTGTTCAGGACACAGGTTGTGGGTTTGGAAATGACTGATGTACAATTTGTGGCATAAAAATGACTTTCAGCAGAAGTTACCTATTGTAAGATTTTGTACAAGTTGTTACAACTGTATATATCTCTCGTATTGCATAGTAGTGTGTTACCAAATGTGTATGGCTTTAATTAAAAATGCAGATTTTCTTCTCATTTCACGTATACAAATCCTTATGATATTTAATGGGTTTTCAATTTGCAGATCCACGTGAGAATTAAATACAGCTTACTATGCTGGGACAGATCCTTAGTCCATTGACTGCTGATAGTGATCAATACTATGAACTTTATAGGGTGAAAGGTGGCTCCTAAGGCACATCATGAGCTGATCTGTAGAAATTATTCTCAGTCTCAAGTCTTGCATTAGCCAGACACCTCAGTTGTACTTAGCATGCTGAATGGTTAAGAAGATAATTTTGTTTGCAACCTTTGGTATTATTTCTATGAGGTCTTACAGTGGAGGGAAAGGATCCAAATATGGAAAAGTTGATGTACTGTTGACAACTATTTCTTCTTTTTCTGAATGGCCCACCATGAATTTGGATTTCGTTTTAGGTACACTTGTATCTGAAAGTATTTATATTCCATCTAAATCAAAAAACGTCCTACAGATGTTATAAAATATAGGGATATATTCCCAAAATTTGAAGAGAGTATTGTAGATTTTCTTCAGATGGGCTTTGTTTTTAGGAGAAAGTTGGACTGTTCAACTCCTAGCAACTATAGAGTTTGCTTTCATCAGTATACATTCTTCTGTTTCCTTTTTTTATTCCTACAGAAACAGTTAGTTGCTCAAAAGATTCATATAGAGGAAAATGAGGACAGAGACACAGGGCTGGAACAAAGGCATAATAAAGAGGATCCGGACTGCATTAAAGCAAAGGTGCCCTTGGGGGACCTAGATCTGTACGATGGCACATACATCACCTTAGAGAGCAAAGATATCCGGTAATAAGATACTTTATATTTTAAGACTTTTACTGAATGAAAAAAATCAACAAAATCTCTAAATGCAATAAAAGAGAAAAATGCTATCCCTGACTGTTCTTTATATGACAGTTGTTTTATGTTTTGTTAGTGTGAAAGAAAATTGAAGTTACCTCTGCCACTAATTATGAAAGGGTACAATGCAGAAATACTGTCTCCCTCAAACTGTCCGTCTTAGTCCTACCCAGAAACTTCTCCATTTGATTCCCAGCCTCCCAGTCAGTTCTGCCACTGTAACTCTGTACCGATATGAACAGATACATGAACTAAACTGAAGTGCCTTGTGTAGAAGGGTGGTGAATTTGAGTGTGCTTTGGATGTTTTGAGCTAGATACACTTCTTGTAGTGGGAACTGTCTTGACTTAAATTGGAATGAAATTCTGTTGATTACCAAGCTGTTGAACCTCTGGTCGTATACATACTGCTGCGCTTAGCAAATAAAGGATGTGTGGACAGTCTGCTTGACATTCAGCATCGTTGGCAATTCATCTTCAGGGCTGGGGTTTTTTTCTAGTTTTATTTTTACAGCATAATCAGATGAGTATTTGAAGTTGGAAGGGATTAATTTTATCCTCAGATACCTTCATTTGGGCTTCTCACTAATACTTGGGATTTGTTTGTTTGTTTGCTTCCGTCGAAGAGTCTTCTAATCTGCATACATTGTCATCTGCCTGGCAGATAGAGCGTTAATCAGAGTAGTGATACACTAGGCTGACTCTGATCCATTTTGGAGGCTATCCAAATGTTGATGTTTTCTCTGAAGCAGACAGAAATGTGTTTACTTTATCCTACATTGGTGACATCCTGATACAACTGAAATTTGGGAAGAGATCGGAAATGGTCTAATGTGCTCAAACACAGGATTTTCGTAACAGTCAAATCGGAATACTGGATCTGTCCACTATAATACTGTCTCTTATGAACTTTAGCGGTATTTTAATCTGGAGTCTGCTGTGTTATGTTGTTATGTCCTCAGCCCTGAAGACTATATAGACACAAAGTCGCCAGTGCCTCCAGACCTGCAGCAGCCAGACTGTACAAAAGTTCTAGATCTTCCATACAGCATTCATGCTTTCCAGCACTTACGGGTAAGCGAGCAAATGCAAGTGTGGTTTTTTCTGCATCAGGAAGAGGAATAGAAAACTCTTACTCGCAGTTCTCTGTCAAGGTTGAAAGGTATTTTAATCTTTCAAAACTTTCAGACTTTTTTTTAAACCACAGTTGTGCCCTGATTAGAGTACCTGCTTATAGGAGGACAGTTCCATTAGTTACACAGATCCTGTTTCTCTTTTGTTGTTGTTTGCCTTATTTTAGAGAACAGTTTTAGGAAGATGGAATGTTTTGTTTTCATAACACACATTTTGTTAGTAAAATGGTAGATTTCATTGGAAATGCTTCTGACTTGTGAATTGTTTCAGTTGAAAATTGGAGAGTGCTGAACAGGGTTGTTAAACTGTAAGAAGATTCAGGGTCAGAAAATTGTGTGCAGGCTTGTCGGTAGCTCCTGACATGCTTAACTGTCTCTTTTGTATATAAATGCCAAGCCCTAACCCAGAGGATGAGATAATTGTTCTTTGCTAGTACAAAGTTCATCTGCTTTAGAAAGGTTACAGTGGAAGTGTGGTGCAAAAATTTTTTTTCGTCAACAGTATTATATGAGCAAATTTTCTAATACAGACGCAGCTTTCGTATCTTGATATTTATTTTATTACAAGGCTTTAAAATAACTTTTCATGTACAATAAGGCTTTTCATACAAACAAACAGGACCTGAAATCGTTGAGCTCTCTTCCTGGGTCTAGATGTAGTTTTGAAACGAGTATGTTTGTTGTTAGTGAAGGAAAAAAGAGAAGAAGAGATGTAGGGATGCTGTCGTAGTGTGCATGTGACCTGACAGACAGGAGTTAAGTGCTTCAGTGATCATTCGTGAAGTCAGTAGCTGCCACATAAACAGTGCTACCAGAAATTAATATTTCTTCTATGGCATTCACAAGCAGAGCTTGGTTTTGGCTACTTCTAGTGTTTGCCTATCTATATTATTATATATTATTCATCTGTCAAAAGTGACATTATCCAGTCAAATCCGTACGATCTTGATATGAAAGGGTGATAGGAATGTAAAATAACCAAGCTGTAAATTTTCCTGGGAGTCATGCTCTGGTGTATATTTCTCTACTTGTAGTTAAAGTGTCAGCAAATACCTATATTCAATTTTTGTTTTAGGGTGTCCAAGAAAGAGTTAATCTTTCCGCACCCTTGTTACCTAAAGAAGATCCAATCTTCACGTACTTATCACGGAGGCTGGGAAGAAGTATAGAGGAAATAGGTCATCGTATTTATGATGGGCTAATGAAGGTATGAAACTGTAATCTTACTGTACACACAAAAAGAGTGCTAGAAAGGTCTCACAAGATTAGATGTGCCTGGTGAATGCAATCAGATCCAGTACTGGTTTTGCATGTATATTTTTGGTTTACATTTCAGATACAAAAGGCAGACTAGAAACATTTTCTGCTAGGCAAGCAGAGGTAGGAGAAGGCATCAGCAAATCCAGTAAATAGACACTTACTATCATCTTCAGTGACTTATTTGTGTGGTCTGGCAAGCCACATTCATTGCTCTGTCAAGGTAATAAGAGCTTTTAAACAAAAATGCAGGTACTTATAGAACAAAGAAGAAGCAATAGTACTGAAATGTGTTATGTTTTTATTACATGCCTGCCTGCAAAATGTAGGAACTTTAAATGAACTCCAGCTAAGCTGCCAAAGCTTAAACTACTGTCACTTCTCATTTCATCTCATTTTGAATTTTTACCTGTCTAAAAGGCAGAAGTTCTGTTTCTTTAGTACGTTTATATGCTGGTTCATTCTTTCTGAACATTCAGAACTGTTGCCAAATGGCTGCGTTCCAGAGGAAGAAGATAACTTAGAGCAGGTTTGATGCTCAGCTTTCCATCCCGTATTAAAGCTCTGAATAACCTTATAGTTCATGTCTTAGTAGTTAATACAGTTTAAGTGTTTCTCTTTACTGCAGAACTCTTCTTCCTGGGTGCTCTATAATATGGCTTCTTTTTACTGGCGAATAAAGAATGAACCATACCAAGTAGTAGAATGTGCCATGCGTGCACTTCATTTTTCTTCAAGGTAAGAATTGCTAATAAATATTTCTTTTCAGATTACTTTTCTAGTTAACCTAATTAGTAATCAGGTTTTAGTTTCTAAGACTGCATCCTAAGGAATAATCCATGTTACTTGTTCTTAGTCTTTATGTGCTATACTAGTCATAGATATAATTTAGACATTTTGCAATCAAATTATGTATTGAATATGTGACTGAAGAATGAGTGTATCCTTATACATGATTCTTACACAGTCTGCCCTTCTTTTAATGTCTGTTTTTTCTTTTTTTCTTCTTTCAGACAAAATAAAGATATTGCACTGGTAAATTTGGCAAATATTCTGCACCGGGCTCACTTCTCTGCAGATGCAGCTATTGTGGTCCATGCAGCTCTGGATTACAGTGACTTCTTTACCAGCTATTACACTTTGGGAAATATATACGCAGTAAATACTATCTTTGTTTTCCAAGACTTGTAGAAAACCGAATATTATTTAATCTTTCTGACTTGACTTGTAACACTTTACTCTCTTGCAACGTGTCTTGTGTTCCACATGCATTTCACACTTAATGTTTAGTGTTCTGTCAAGATACTTTCGTCCAAAAGTCTGTCTTTCAGCAAAGATTTTTATCCACACTGGGAAATAAATCCCAGGGAAATTCTCTCCCAGCCTCTCTTTAGCAGCTACAGCTACAGAGTTTCAGAAACGACAGGCTGCTTGTTAGCACAAGTTAAAATTTTAGTTGACTTCTTTAAAAATGGAAGCTTTTTAATTAAATATTACCGAACAATGGCTAATTCTCTCTCTCGGTCATTCTTCAGATGCTTGGAGAGTACAATCACTCAGTCCTGTGTTATGATCATGCTCTACAGGCCAAACCGGGGTTTGAGCAAGCTGTAAAAAGGAAGCATGCTGTCCTATGTCAGCAAAAACTTGAGCAAAAATTGGAAGCCCAGCATAGGTAACTAAAGAAGCATCCTAGTGGCAGTTCATACAGTCTCACTTTTATTGTTCTGTTGCAGCAATTATTACATTCCAAATAGAATGATTTTCAACTTTCTATATTTCTTCAAATAAGCAGTAAAATTGTTCGTAAGAATACTTTAAGAAACCTAGAGTTGAAAATGTGCAACACTGTAGGAAAAGCTGACTTTTTAAAAAGCACTTAAAGTAAATCTTTTCTGCTGTTGAATTTTCAAGATCACTTCAGAGAACATTAAATGAATTGAAGGAATACCAGAAGCAGCATGACCACTACCTTAGGCAACAAGATGTTTTAGACAAGTACAAGCTCATCCAGGAGGAACAAATCTTGAGGAACATCATTCATGAGACACAGATGGCGAAAGAAGCTCAATTAGGTACAACTTTTTAGAGTTCATGCTCGTTATAGCAATGGAGAATTGCACATATTCAGATTAATGTCAGGACGTAACTTAATCATATCATAAGATGGCCCTGAGTGACTGTTATGTTTTGCTTATTAAAACAAGGCATTGCAATATGTTCTTGAACAGGTTTTTTTTTCTGAGTCTTTCAGAGTAGGAGTTTCTCCTTGCTGATAAAATAAATAAAAAGGATTGACCAAATTGGGGGTGGAGGGGTTGACTCTATGCTGTCTTTGTCTCCTCAAAAACTTCACTTACACAGTAGAAAAAATATTTTGTGCTCTGCAGGGAACCATCAGATTTGTAGACTGGGCAACCAGCAGCATAGCTTGCACTGCCAGTGGGACCAGCCTGTTCGTTATCACCGCGGAGACATTTTTGAAAACGTGGAATATGTTCAGGTTTGTCTGTGAATTGATACCACTGCTTTAAATAGTATCCCATTTGCCTTATTAGCAAAATAGTTCAATTTTTTTTTGGTTTTACGAAGGTGGTACATTTTGGGTGTGGTAACTATAATGAGAAATAATTTAGTCTGTTTTCCAGAGTGTAAAGTATTTAATGCTAGTTCCTTTTCCCAGTAATACAAGCTGAGATCGACTGTGGATTGTAGAAATTGAGAGAGTTTATTGTATAAGACTTTGTTTTACTTAGAGAATAGAATTATTAGAATGATTTGAATTGAAAAACTTTGTTTTATTCTGAAGTCTGAGTTTCCTGTGAGATGCCAACCACTGCTATATTGACTCCTTTGCTTTTTCAGCCTGCATAGAACAGCCAATTATTTCTTTCTAGGAAGTACAAGAGTCCTCAGTTGAGGAATTACAACTTTCTTTTACATAAATATACTACATTTCAGACATGCTAGCGGGAGCAGGACATGTTTAATTTTCCAATTTACTTTTCTTCAGAGAGGACAAGAAAAAGCATTAGGCAGCTAATTTTAATGAAGAGGCAAAGGTGTTTTAAGGAGTTAGTTTTCTAATGTATGCGTGGTATATGGAACAAGAATTATTCTTTAGTGGAAAGAATACACCAATATAACAGCTTAAAAGTGTGTTTAAAATAATCTTGTATCAATCATTTATCTCTGCAGCCTTAAAATCGATCATAATTTCTTTTGTTTATTACACTGCCGTATGACTCAAGCTACGCAATTTTTGCATGCTCCTTCCAATTTTATCTTTTTTCCTACCAGAGGGAGCACAAAACTGCCATAAGCAAGTAACAAATGGAAGAGCAGAGCTCAATGGTGTTGAATCTAGTGAGTGCTTTTGCAGCCCAGAAATAAGGTGTTAGCCTGGGTTTGTGAGTATTTGCTGACTGTATGTCTTGAGTGAGACAATGCACCAAGGAAATCTGAGACTGCGATATTGAGAAGTTTTGGAAGCAGGGTGTGTACTAATACTGAAAATCCAGAATGAAAGCCACCCAGGCAACACCACTGCTGTGCTAAAAGTACAGATAAAGATTATGGTTTCATTTATTTTGCAATATGGAATGTGTTCTGGAGTTTCCCTTTAGCTAGTTTAAGAAACAGGAATAATTATTTTTAATTACGCTATGTTTTCTTCTTGGATGTTCTTCCTATTATAGTAATTATAAATTCAGATTGTCAAGATAATTTTGCAAGCCGTAAGTCTTAGTAACTCTTGACTTGAACTAGAGCTGTGCAGTTTAGATATGTAGATTTTGTTTGTGGTCTATTAGAAATATTTGCTTGGTACCTTTTAGCATTTTTTTTTTTGGTGATTTGCACTTGTGTTTTCATTGTTGACATGTCATTCACAACAGGAATATTATTTTTCCATGGTTTGAGTAGATAAAGAGGCTGAAATTTCCATTTTATTTTTTCTGCTACCTGAATTTCAGCTCATGAGTGAGGCTTAACTACGTAAATGGTGGGGGGAAAAAACAATGTGCAGAAATTCAGCCAATAATATACCATCTCTTCTCCTTATTAAATATTGGGTTTTTTTGTTGTTTCTAGTTTGGTGAAGACTCTTCAACTTCTAGTATGACATCTGTGAATTTGGATCTTCATGCAAACCAAAGCGACCACAGCCAGTCCTTGCAGTCTTCCCCTGTTGCTCGTTCTGTCGTTTCAGTGTGGAGTGTAGAATCCAGTAGAGTGAGTGAAGAGGATAAGCTTTGCCCTTTCAAAGAGGAGTTGTGAAAGAGTGAATCTTGTCCTTATTTATGTGAAACTTCTTAGCAGTTGGGCTCCAGTTTTGATGTGCGGCAGCGCTGGAGAATGTAGCGTTCTGTATTTCTTCAACGTTTGCGCATATCTGTAGTTTCTCTGTACCAGTTTCCCATCATTTGAAACTCTTAATACAGCACAGAGGGTGTTGCTCTTAGCTACCTTTGCAAACATCTGCTGCAGATAAAGCAGTCCAGCTGAGTAAAGATAGAGAACTGAACTGCTGTTCTTCCAGAAAAGATGGAAAAATAGTAGTTTTAAAGATCTCTGCTCATTTTTTCCTCCAGGCTATTTCTTATGTTCTTATTAGCTTGTTAATCAGAATATTAAAAGTGGTGAGAAAAAAAAAAAAATTAACTCCTTTCCCCCTTAGGACAAACAGCATATTCTTTGGCCCCTGCGATCAGAGTGCATGAAATCTTTCCCGAAAATTCCTGATCCAGAACAACTGCCAACTTATTTCCTGCCACCAGAAAATAGGGGATTCAGGCAAGTGTTGATTTCTAAAATATATTTGTAAATTTTCACACTGGTGCCTTAATGAGCATTTTTTTTGTGGAGAGGATGGATGCAATTAGTAGTCAACAGCGCAGATGTGTTCGGACCTCTTTCTCTGGCTGTTCCACAGAAGGAGGGTGTTTTCCTTCGTTGTCATTTGCTGTAACTGCAACGGTTAGATCTAATTTCATGGTATTTCTTCCCGGACTGTTAGTACGTGAATACATGAAATATGTACAAAACTACTGAAAGAATGAGAATTTAAGCACAAGTCTGAATGTCTTTTAGAGTATATTTAAAATAAAAAAGACCACCTTGGGAGAGAGAATGAGGTATCTATTTAATAACTACAGTTAATTGTTGTACATTGCATACATCGTCTTAGCTTTTGTTCTGATAACAGAAGATTGTGAAGACCAGAAAGTACTAAAAAAAGATTGGGAGTGGAAAGCCCTGGCTCGTTCCTTTGGGGCAAAGGTAGAAAACCAGCTTAGCTGTAGAATAGTCAGTAATATTGTTGCATGGGATAAAATAAACGTGTGTGTGCTGCAATAGCTACCTTACATAGGTTAATGCAATTTCATAATATCCTACTTGGTTAACATTATAATAGTGATAGTAAGAAAGCTTTCTTCTTCTAGGCAGTATAATTCTAGTATTGAGCACGTGTTAAAGCAAAGGTTCCCATCCACAAATGTCCTGAAGCTTCCTCTGAAAAAACGAACAGTGTTCAACTTAGAATGTTAATCCCAAATAATTTGGTTACCTCTTGTTGTTTTAGAAATCAAACTTTAGTTTAAAAAACTTCAGCATTTTCTTTTTCACTTATCTATTTAGTCTAAACTTCATACAATCCTTATTAGCATAATAGAAGAATCTTCTGTGTTGTATCTCTGCTGCATTGACTATTATTTACAGAAGTTCTGTGCTTAAAAATGGAGAGTAAGGACCTTAATTATTAATGACTTTTCAAGGGAAGGGTGGTCCTTGAACTCTCCTGGTTTGCAGCTCATGTCTCATGGCAGTCTACAGTATGAGACTTGTCAGCTGATGTGTAGCTGATTCTTATGTTTATGTATCAGTGACATGCTGCACGTGCTATTAATTTGTCTTGGCTCTCCTTATTGCTAGAGTCCAGCCAATCCTGACTATCCCAAAAGATACTGTTGGGCATGAAGAAACCCAAGCACCAGACTGTTCTTCCATTACTGATGCTCGTAACAATGAATCTCTAAACATTCTGGTCAAGGAACTAAACAGTAATCTAGATTTGAAATTCAAGATGCCGGATGATCAGGCAAGACAAGTAAGAGACATTTTCTCATTGGTTCGCTCCTGTTTTAACGTTCTCCTCTTTGTTGCCTTAAAAATCTTACTCTGAATGTGAAAGGTTCTGATATTTAAAAGATGACTTGCTATCACAAGCGAATCAGTACTTCCAAAAAAGGGGAGCAAGTGCTTTCTAATAGAGCTGACGAAATGGTGAACTTGTCACTCAGCATGAGACTTGTTGTCTGACTGCAGACCAAAGGCACACAGAATAGGAAATTTACTATATTATTTAAAATTACTGCTTTCTTTTAGAACTTCTGACAGTTACTTGACATAATTCATCTTTTGGGGGTTACCAAGTTAGTAACTTTAGACTGAGATCAGTCATTCGTATCGCTTCCTGGAGATTGGCTGCTTTAGTTGTTACGTGTTCACGTTGTCTATTTAGAAGCATTTTTCTTTTTTTTTCTCTTTACTAAAGGGAAGACAGGGAAGTGAGACTTGAATGACCCATGTAGATATAAACTGTAAAATTTCTTCAGTTTGAAAAAAAAAAAAAAAATTCAATGCTTTGTTGTCCAGGTCTTGCATTCTCGTATCAACAATCAAAGTGTTACACAGGTGAAGATAGGAGCATTTCTAGATCATGCCATGAAAAAGGTATGTCAAAATTCATAATTCTTGTTTGAGTCTTGTTTCTATACTTCTAAAGAAGTCAGTCAGTGATGTGCAAGAAATTAGCGTATTTGCTGTTTGTAGCTGAGATGAAACTAACTTAAAATTCCATGTTTACAAATAAAGCACAAGCATATAGAGAAGTATCCATTTAATTTGGCTTAGTGTGGACCAAACAGCAGTGTAGTTACTTGTTCTTGTTGTGGCTGCAGGACATGAAGCAGTAATATATTAGCTAATCCTGGCAGCCGTTTGCTTAACTGAGAGAAATAGCTTGGAACTACACCTCCATCTTTCATCTCTCCCTACATGCCTGCCTTTTGCTCTTCCTCCTCCTCACCACTATCCTGCCTTCCCCTCCAAAGAAACCAACCCTCTGTCAATCTTCTGTCAGGATAATGAGCACTGTGGGGCAAAGAACGTACATCTGTGTAACACCCTGTGGAATGCCACCTCCATCTTGCGTGGGGCCTTTGAGAGTCATCACAAGTCAAATGACAGGAAGCACTTAGATAGAGGTTGACTTTTTTTGATGTGTCAAGCTGACATGTCTCAAATTAACTCTCTTGTACAAGTTGTGTCAAGGCAGTGTATGTATTTATTGGTTTTAGTCTAAAATCAGTACCATTTACTATGGCATCTGTCTTACCCAGAAGAAGGAAAATTAACATAGCAGTTGATTCCTGTTATAATGCTGTTCAGAACAGTCCTATACAAGTCTAATGTCTTACTGTTGCAGTGCATATGTATTTGGTTTTTAACTGTAGTGTTCTCTTGCCTTCATGGTAAAAGTCTGAACTTCTCAGTCATTTAGATGCTCATGTAAGAACACTGTTATGTCATGCCTGTTCTGCTAATGATAAACTTTCTAGAGCAGGAGTGCCACAGTTGGTATCTTTGTAGTGGGACGGACAAAGTGCTAATAACTTGCTGAGGATTTAGTTAGAGAAAGATCAGAGACACCTGTGTATGGAGTGTAATTCCGTGAGGAGTTTGGCATGAATAACATGCAAGTAATGTTATGTATGTCCATGGCAAAATAGGGGTGATAAATACTCTCACAATTATGGATTATGTAAGGTACTATGAACAAAGAGTAATACATCCTGTTGATATCTTCCAGTTCATCTTGAACCATAGGTAGAACCCTCCTGTGTGAGGTTGTTTTTAAAATCTGGAAGAAAATCTTTGTACTTATTAACTTTTTCAATACATTATTACTGTAATGTCAGCTGTATTACGTTAATACAATACTACTGTAAAGATCCTTATCTGTTTCACTTCTTTAATTCAAGCTGCATGTTTCCTACTCATGCATGCATTTGCGCTTCAAATGTGTAGGTTGGATTGGACGTTAATTTCAGTTGTTGCTTTTGTGCTTTAAACTCTGCATAGAATTGAGTAACATGGAATGCTGAAAATGTCAAGAGCTAGAATGTAAGTGTTTCTAAACCATTTCAAACTGCTCCATCTGAAAGTGGATGTTTTACATAGCTCTGTTTACCTGTCTATTTTAAAGTTTTGCTATTTCTTCTCTAGGCTAAACGGTTTTTTTTCTGGTAGAGGTGAAAGACGAGGAAGGAACATTCAAGGTGTATTTGATACTTCCTCCATTCTTCTACCTGCCCTTACTGGTTACTTGCTATTTTATAATCTTTAAACAGTATCTAATGCACGTCACTTGTCATCTTTCATAAGACAAATAGATAACTAAATCTAAGAAAAATGAATTATGAAACCTTCAATAGCCAGGAAGTCTTGATGTTGGATATAGGACCTGGAAGTACATCTAACTACAATTTAAAAGCTGCCTGACCTTCAAATTTTAACATTTCTGCATAGATCTGTATTAGTGTAATTTTAAGATGCTAAAGTGGCTCACAAATGTTGCTTCCTGAAGCAAGTTAACCATTATTACTTGTATATTGTAAGGGATTTTGTGGTCATGATACAACATAGACGTATGAGTAGAGTGTGAGCAACAGTTGCTATTAAATTACAGTTCAGACTGTAAGTCACATCGATTTGGTTAGGGTAGAGGAGATTGAATGATCTGGTAGCAATCACAGCAAAGCGTGATTTGTATCTTGTTAATCAGGTAGTGTGCAAGGGTGGGTTTTGTTTGTTTCTTACCAAAGAGCAGGCAATCCTGAGACACCTCTTTGTGGGTGTGTTCATCCTTTTCCTTGACTCTCCTATAGCCAGAAGATCCTCTGTGGCTTGTGCTTAATGAAGCTGGATTGTACTGGCGTGCGGTTGGAAATAGCACCTTTGCTGTCACCTGTTTGCAAAAAGCATTTAATTTGGCGCCACGTGAATATCAGGATATCCCTCTGGTCAATCTTGCTAACCTCTTGATTCATTATGGTCTTCATTTGGATGCCAGCAGGCTCCTGCTTAAGGCTTTGGCCATCAATGCCTCTGAGGTAAGATGATGGTTTTTGTGTTCGTTCAGCAGTGAATGTGCTTTCTTTCATTATTTTGTAAATACATGTTACGTAATTGTGATTACTTACCTGTGCACACAGTTTAACTTCCAGTTTGTGATTTGCAACAGATGTTAATTTTCATTTAAATTCTTGATCAGAATGGGGTGATGCTGGATGCTGAGAATGTAAACATCTGGAGCAGAAGTTCTTCGAAAACAGATGACAGACTTTTTGCCTCCCAAAACCTGTATTATCAGCAGTGGCTCCAAGGAACCTAATCCTGGTGTTTTGGCAAGATTTTAATCTAAAACAGAGTTCCATAATGCTGTCAGCCTTGTATCTTGATTTTTAAAACTCTTAAAGTAGCACACGTCACGAAGATCTTTGATTATGTAGACATATTTCTGTTCCACTTGACTTTTTATCTATACTGTTTTATTTGTCCCGAGATTTCATCTGTGTATCTAGAGAAAAACCTGTGTTCTGGTTATTTTGATGACTTCCAACCATAGATTCAAAACAGGTTTTTATATTTCTGAATGGTAACATTATAAACATTTTGTAGGTTGTCACCTGTGTCATGTAGAAAGTTGGTGTATAAACTGTTTAAACTACTGGACTGGCCAGAACAATTGTGAAATGGAGGTGGGGGGCTGGAGGGGGAGGCGTAGCGGGGGACACCTTTTTACTAGCAAATAATTTTTTTCTTACATTTGAGTTGCTTCCGTGAGAAGTTCAAATGACTTTTTCCCTGTGCTTCTACCTCTATGATTAGATAGAGGCTTAAACTTGGCAGGCCACCAGTCACCTAGCACATAAAAAAGCTAAAAATAGAATAAGCTTTTTCAATATAGCATCCAGGAACAATTTGCAATTGTTGGAAAGGAATCTAGCCCATTTGGGTGACAGGTAAGCGTGCAAAAAGAAACTATAGAAGGAACTGTGTTTGAATGATGTGCCTTAAGAAGAACACTTGAAAGCACAGCCTTGGAGGGGAGCAGTCCAGGGGATCCGTAGGACCATGCTGTGTGAGTAGGGCTTTTGTTCAAAAATATTGGTGAGTCCTACTTCATTATGATAATGCCTGCTCCTGTTTTTTTCGGGCATTCTCAGTCTTGTAATACCTATTGTATCAAAAAATCTGGTAGGAGAATTTGTACTTGAATAGTATTTCCTGGAATATAATGGAAAGCAAATATGAAGTAAAATGAATTACAGCTACAGGGAGTGAAGGATGTGCTAGATTAGGAAAAGCTATAAAAAAAATAAATCCCATTGCTCAGCTTTCATCTTTTTCTGAATGATGTTTAATAATACAAGCTACGATGAGTTTGAAAAATCTTAAGCCGCTGATCAGTCTCCACATTTTCAGATGATGAATGTAAAATTATTTCAGTGGAAAAAACTGCTAAGTTACAATATCATAGTCATTATTCTTGCGTTGTGCTGTTAATTGCAGCAAATTACTGTGTAAGTGAAAGACACTTCAGTCAACAAACAAAATGTAATGCTTTACTGTGTGCCTGTATTAAAGTGCTAACTGAATTCTACCCAGTGAAAAAGGTGTTTCTAATTTGTACTTTTGAAAAAACTAATCTATTTTAGGGAGACTAGCCAAAAGCAGTGGACAAAAATATGAAGTTTTATGAAGAATTGAAAGTAAACATAAATGTATACCCCTAAGCTAGTGTGACATTGGTGTTTTCAGTAACCTAGTTCTGCTTGAGCAAGTCCTGAACAGTCTTGACAAATGAAATGCATCTGTCCTGCTAGATCATTAGTAATATTTTTACAATTTTGCTGACTTTTAATCATTCTAAAATGTCTTCAAGCATTTCAGTTTAGTTCTCTGCTACTCTGTGCAGTAAGCATTATGTTTATGATGGGTTATAAGTAAGTATTTAATGCTTCATTGCAGCTTGTGTGTATTTAACAGCTGTTTTTCATCGTGGGAAGATGGAATCCTGAACACAACCTTATGCCAAAACAGCTTTCATTTAGCATCAGTGCATCAAGCTGTTAGTTTAGCTTACTAAGAATAGGCAGTCCTTATTTAAGCAGTTTTCTAAATTCTTTCCAGCCAAATTTGGGAGGGTGTGGGTTGGCAGAGTTTTTTCCTGGTTGGCTTCAATTTTAAACAGCGGACATACTTATGCTGGGGTATGTTGCTTTTCTCTTTGCAGCCCCTGACTCTTTTGAGCCTAGGAAATGCGTATCTGGCTCTGAACAACATTAGTGGAGCCCTGCAAGCTTTTAGACATGCACTGGATTTGACAACCAAGTGCTTGGAGTGTGAAAGCAGCCTGAAGATGATCCGCTGTTTGCAGTTTTATCCTTTTCTGTACAACATCACCTCTTCTGTGTGCAGTGGTAAGCAACTGCTGAAAGATGGGCCACAAGTGGAATAGTGTCTGTTTGCCTTGGGTGTTGCACCTGAAATTTGTGATCACTAGTGATCCTCCCTTTTCCGTTATGGTGCTTTCCCTGTATAAAGACCAAGGTTGAGGCACTGCTTTTAATGGAAAAGTTACAGTCCTTTAAGAAGTGCTTGAGGATCGCTTCTTAAATATCTAGAGGGCTGCCGCTGAGTGCACGTTACTTCCTGAGTGTGTCAGTAAAACATTAAAAGCCTCACTGATGTCTCTTACTGGTAACTGAGGAATGCTGGATACAGTATTTATGGAAATACACAGCTGCTGCTGCTAGGCTACTCAACAGCCCCTTTGTACCTCCCTTCATATTTTGCAGTCAGGTGGATATGTTTTCTTAAAGCTGAAGAATTTGGCAAAGAGGAGTTTAGTTACAATTCATACCCTTTCAGTGTGTTCAGTACTTCGGATGTCATTTTCTGGTGTTCAGTCTTTACAGCCTAGACTATATTGTGTCAGCGTCATTTTGTTTATATGGTGTCTGTCATCACTGCTCTTAACCCTCCAAAAATCTGTAAGAATAATGACTTTGAACCCAATCTTGCTCCCAAAAATACTTTAAAATATTTGAGATAGCAGGCTTTATTATCCTTAGTGGCTACTTGTATTATAAAAACCAATAACATCTTCGGAAGATGGATTCTTTCATTTTGGTGAATCCCACTGAATATTTCGGGTATTTTGTCTGTACTTGCATAGGGCTAACATGCTGCTCATGAGCAATCTTGAAGAACACTTGGGAATATATTTTATAATCGCTTCTCTCTCCAGGTGTGATTAAGGTATCTTTCCATCTAATCTTTCCTTTGTTTTTAAATGAAAACCTTACGGGAGATAAATGCTTTTGATTTTTAGTACTGCTAGGACTTCCTCTGAATTATTTTTTCTTTATTCCCTCTCCAGTGGAAAGACATGGAGAAACCTCCTCTGATTTAGCATCTAGAATTACACTGTCTAAATATAGACTAGAGGCCATCCTATCTCCTGGTACAGTATTGATGATGCCATTGTAGGTGAAGTTCCAGAACTATGCTATTAGAATAATACTATCTTTTATGGCCTTATGCATTTTTGCTCTGACTGACAGCACATCAGTTGTGCAGAGAAATTAATGCTATTTGGCTGAATGTAGTGTAGTAAGTCGTATTATGGCCCAACTGATGGGTCTCGTACCGAGTTCCATAATGTCAACACTGGTACTTTTCACTGAATCACTTAACATCAAATAGCTCTTCTCTTAAAAAGCCCGACAAATACCATAAGCAGTAGTGGGACTTGCACATTTCGTCACAGGAGACGCTTTCACTGTTCTTGAAAAAAAAATACAATGTCTGTTTTATTTTTATGAAGATCTTTAGAAATGCCTGTAACTTACGAGGTTAACATTGTTCCAGTCAAACCTTAATGACAGCCACTCTATTTCGGAATTAAGCAGAAAGTAGTTTAAAAGTGTATTCACAGAACTGAGATGGTGAGGAGCAGTGGCTGTATTTGAACCCCAAAGTGATCTTTTACATCTTTCTTTTCTTTTGTGTGCTTTTCTTCCTTAAATTTGTCATAATACTTAACAATATACTCCTCTAGTTTGGCTGATTCTTGGCAGCTGTTTGCATTGATTCCTGATCCAGGATGTTCATTATAAGGTCAACTATTACTGCATATGCTATTTAGGAAGTTTGTGTTTCTTGAATATGAGAAGAAATCCATATCAAAAGTGCTTATGAGAGAAGTGTTAGCTTTTCTTTTTTGCTCTCCTGGCCACAGGTTAAGAAAGGGAGCATGAATATGTTCATCTGGTGTATTGGGGTTGGTTTTGTTTAAGGAATCTGTGAAGCTGCTAAACTGCGAGACCTGAATATGCCTTAGCATGTTAATTTGCTCATTAAATTTCAGTATTTAAATACTTTATTCTATATTTATGTTTTTGCCTTTTTTCTAGCACTTTTCCTGTATTAATATTTCTTTCTTTTTCATTTCTATTCATAATATCCTTTAGGTCGTCTTTTGTCTGATTGCAAGAAACCTGAAAGTATGAACCTGACAGACAGTGTCAATGTTCTTTGTACATTCTTGTGCAGAGTGTAAAATAAACATACCAGTTAATTCAACCTTGACAGTGATTTGTGGTTTAAGTCAAAACTCAGAATTCAAAAATGGAAAGGTAGATTTGCCTTTCTTATTTTCATAAGGTTTGGGGAAATTCCCCCCCCCCCCCCCCGCTGTATGAAAGTGAGGTTAAGTCTCCAAAACCAGAATTATTTCAAGAATGTGTACCCAGAAATCACACTTCGCACTTACAAGTATCCTGAAATTTTTGGAGTCTTCTGTTCATCCTTCAGTCCAAAGAAAGCAGTTGAAAAGAGATTGTAAGTTTGAATTTTGACCTTATAGATGTAATGCGATAGTATATACAATTATTCAGTCACTACTTAGAACCTAAAAAATGCAAGCTGTATTTAGATGCTAATATATAACATTACCTGTTGCATGTACAGCATTTGTTAAAACGTTAATATCATGTAGACTTACAAGATTTATAAAGCAACATGATCTGCTTTTGTTTGGCTCCGTGACAGACTGGAAGGCACATTTTGACGACAACGCAAACTGAACACTACTTTACACACCTTTCTGAGTGGATCTTTAGATGTAGAGCTAATGCAGCACATTTGTAAACAGGTGGATCAAACGTACACTTGACAATCCCATTATCGCTGGATTGTTACTTCAGGAGATTTTCAGAGCCTTTCAAATCATGTGTTGCAGGTTGGGGACATCTGATACTAAGCTTAGTTTGTCCTCTTGTTATTATGCACTTGATGGCACGTCATAACTATTTATATCCATCTCCTTTGAGATGGGTATGTTATGCTGAAAAATTTACCAAGGAATTGGAATGTCAAATGTTCTCTCTGGTTTAATGACTTGTTTTGATGAGTATTCGTTCAGTATTTCTGAAAGTAACAGCAGTAGGGCTGCCTGTGCTTTGAGTTGTAGGCCCATGCGATAGCTGTGGTTTTGCTCCGCCTGTCAAAAGCCTCTATTCACGAGAATCGAACTAACTAGCGAGACACGGAGTTCCTTGCTCTGCTGCCGTGAGCCATCGGCAGAATCCAGCAAATGGTCAGTGGGAGTTATATGCTAGCATGGAGTGGAATATGGGATCAAAATTTGAATTTATAGTCTGATTTTTTATTACAATATGTGCCTGGTGTTAGTTTCAGATAGATGAAATAGGAATATTCTCAAGCATGTTGGGGCATTCGCTGTTAGCACAGGACATTGGGAGCATGATACACTAATGCTGACTTGTTGGATGCTCGCTTTGTGTGCTCCTGTCTGTACTGCTGCCTGGTACTTTTTTTTTTTTTTCCTAACTTATCTCTGTTCTAGATAGAAATTTGTATTTTAAACCCAAGTCACTTCATTGCATGTGAGAAGAGGAATTAAAAACTTCAGACCAACATTTTTCTATTAACTTCTGCCTCCTATATTGAAGTTTATATAAATGTTTGGGTTTATTGTAAAGGGATTTCTAAATCTGCAGACGTTTTTGGTGTTTTTTTCTTACAGAGGGGGTGTGTTTGGTACAACTGTATAGGGTATGACATGTATTTTAGGCAACTGCAGCAGTTCAGTCGGTTGCAGACAATGCGGGTACTGTACAGCTGCAGTGCTACATACGTATGCCTCCATTACGTGGAGCAACAGCCCATGTACTGCCTTGTTCCCAAGTAACTGAGAACATGGTCAGGAGACTTCATTGTTATGAGATTATCCTGTGGTGGTGGTTCTAGAGGTGACTTGGCAGTGGTAAGGGTGTTGCTACTGAATGATAACTGCTGTGTTACGGGCAGGTCAGTTCTTGAAGCATGTTAAGTAGCAGAAACTTTATGTTGCTTGGCACATACCTAAGCAGCCATATCTGACACACAAATAGCAGGACCAAGAGGCTTGTGTAACAAGTGTAAAAAAACCTAATGTGAAAAACATGGTCAACTCTCACAGCTGCAAAAATTAGGTACTTTGGCTTTGTGCTGCTCACTAAGCCAGTAAAGAAAGGCAGTATTATTTTTGTCCGGTATTGAAATGGTGCATTGCTAGGATTTGTTTTGCACACTTTTATGGCTTAAAAAATTGCAGGTAGCTTTTATTGTGTGATCAGGTCTGTAGACGAATATCCAACTAACACCTGGGGGATTGTTCCTGTGGCACTTCATTGGCTGATGTGAACATTTAGATGTTATTAAGCCTTATTAGAAAGGTTACAGTATACTAGAATCATATTTTTAGTGTGGTGGTTAGCTGGCCATTGAAACATGCTGATTTGTTAGTTGCTATTACATAAGGAAAAGTCCTGTGCATGCAAACAGAATTGCTGCTTAGACAATCAGAAGTCATTTGTACTCAAGATATTTTTATCTGACTGTAAGCATCTACATCTGACTGACATTTCCAATTCATTATGAGCTCATGCACTTCACATTCTTTTAGACAAGATCGAAATTCAAAATCTCAGACTTTATTTATTGACTGATGGTGTTCAAAACATGAAGCGCAACTAGTTTTAAGCTTCAAATTTCTTTAGTCTCACTGTCTTTTATTACTTGGCAGGATAGTGCTTTTACGAAAAGGTTTGTGCTGCTCTGTTGGAAGCAGAGGCAGCCTGAGTAGAAATGCTTTTATGTAGCGAGTGTGTATGTGTGTGAAAGCAATGCATACTTCCTTTATGACTTGGTTCTCTAATGTTTATATAGAGCGATAGCTTAATGATCCACTTTAAGTATGGTTTTAGTGCCCTCTTGTGGTACAAATACCCTATACCACATGAAATCGCGAGTCTTGTTTTATTTCATCTACTTCCTCTTAAAATAAAACATGGGAAAAAGGTATTTGATCTTCTAAGTGTATGGATTTTCCTTTGTCCCCCAGCACTTAAGT